TATATAAAATATATATATAAAAGTCACAAATACACATTAAGAACAAAAACAAAAAAAAAGTTATAAAAATATCTTGTAGAAATGATTGTTCCTCACAAACTGTGGAGAAAGGTGTGATAATTGTAGTACCTGGTTGGGAAGACAGGGAGCGCACTCCCAACAACTCCACTTGGATCCAGTGCTAGTCCATCTGTCGCCTCCTGTGAAGTAATTCCTATCTACACGGGACATCAAACTGTGGTGGATTCCTGTTTCTTTATAATGAATCACGCCAAGTTATTTGAGTGGAGAACTCACGACGGCTAACTCCTCCATCCACCAGACTTTTCTGGACAGGGTGCCTCATTTGGCCTTAGAGGATGACGTGGATCCTGAGGTTCCAAAAAAGTATCCTTTGGAGGGGCCGTGGCTCAGTGCTAGAGCATCTGCTCAGTATGCAGAAGGTCCCAGGTTCAATCCCCGGCATCTCCAGCAAAGAATTAGATAATAGGTAATAGGAAAGACCTCTGCCTGAAACCCTGGAGAGCCATTGCCAGTCTGAGCAGACCGTACTGACTTTGATGGACCGATGGTCTGATTCCGTGTAAGGCAGTCATGTGTCCAGTGGCGACGGAGCAGGTTCAAGAAGCCTGATCGTGACACGTTGGCCGGAGAGCCTTCCTCGTTTCGTTTAAGGAAAAGAACCAACTTCGCACCGCAAACTGGGACAGAATCAACGTGTTCAGCCCCCATACCAAAGCCCTAACAACACCCATGTCAGCCTCATTCCATTGCCCAAGATCCCTCAACAATCCACTTGGGGATGTTGTGTGAGCAAACATTAATACAATTTTTTAAATATAAAAACTTCCATTTTTATCCTCATGATAAAAAGAACATTAAATATAGAAGGGGGATTAAAGAGTTGTTGCCGAGTTACAGAAACGATTGGAGGGGGGGAAGTGGGTTTTAAATGCTTTCTTCTTCTAAAAATAGATTAAATATATATATATATAAAAGTTTCTTCTCTGTGGGTTTTTTTCTTTAAAGTCAGGCCACTTGTGGATTTTATTATCTGGAGGTTTTAGAGGAAACACTGGCCTCGGGAGAAATGCATTCAGGATGAATCAGCTTTGCAATCCTATTTTGAAGGGGCATTAATACACCGTTGCACCCAATAGCCTGAAAATCGGATCAGGTAGCAACCCTCCCTCCCAAAATTTGTATGGTTCCTACTCTCAACCCCAAATATAGGCAGAAATTATGGATGCTCCTAGAGTTCACTTTACCCTGCCTTAAGAAACTGAAAACCTGCAGCTAAAGTCAATTGTGTATGTACCTTTTAATGGTAAGTTGCTGGATACAACAAACAACCCTGTATTCACACACTTCTGTACTGTTCGTCTATTAAAAGTTCCCCGCAGAAGTGGCGTGCCATGGCTTTCCCCTTTGCTCATTTTACCCTTGCACTAATTTGTTGGGCAGCTGTTCCACAGGCAAAGCCCTGGCCCATATAGACAAAAGGGTGCGGGAACGTAGCCAGGAATTTCTACCCTGGAGGAATTAAACACGCCTGTTCCCTACTGCAGGACTGTATTGGTTTTTAGTGCCCATTTACAATGCTCGACTGGAGGAGGCACACACCGTTCTTTCAGAGGACTAAAGAGCGGATAAAGCAGGAAGCACACCCCCTCTCCCCCAGAGCAAGTCTGGCCGCGTCCTACCTGAAACAGGAGCCAAGTTCGGGGAGGACACAAAGATTCCCCCTTCCCCTCTGAAGTGGGATCTGGGTATCAGCCCAGTAACCGAGCCCCATCCCTAGCACCATATTTGAGGGAAAAGGAAGATCCTCCTTCTGACACAAGCACATCCCACCCCCACCCACCGCTGCAACGGCGAACAGAAAGTTCCTGCTTTTGCATGACGTGTTACAAAATGGAAGACGCTAGAAAGATGTCTAACCGCTGCAGAGGCTAAGCAGAGGATGAAGGGAGGGTGCCCTTCCCATCCTCGTCCCAGAGACTCCCGGCCTTCCCATAAAACTAGAAGCCGTGTTTTAAGGCCAAACGCAAGGTGTCACTCAGACATCAGACAAGCTGTCGTATGTTTTTAGGGGGTGGGTGAGTGGGAGGCGATCCCCCCCCACCCCGCATTCTTTGTGCTGTAGTGTAGTGTTTGGTCCCCCCCCCCCGCAAAAAGATGCCACGACTGTCCTAAAAGGAAGGAAGTGAGGAGGAGAGCTGCGGAAGACGTATCCGGGAAAGGGTTTCCCTTACGAAGGCACTTCTAGCATTCCCAAATCGGCAGCCGGTCTCCGGAGCCGGCAGGAGCGAGACGGAAGGATTCAGAGTGATGGAGCTGTTCCACAGGCAAGAGGCGAAGCCCGGGGTCGACCCACTTTGCCCGCGTCTGCCCGTTTTTACAAGTCCAGAGGCTCTTCCACCGGAACGGACTGCAGCTGGGTCAGTACCTTCTCGTCAGAGTCGAGTGCCTCGGGATCCATGGGGTCACCGCCGGAGGCATCCAGTAAGAGGCCCTCCCCCTCTGGGAGCCGAAGCAGGCCGCTCTGCCCTTCCAAGGGACCCTTGTCCATCTCGAACAGCCCCTCGGAGCTGGGCCCTTGGAGGTCCATGCCGACCGGGCCGGACCAGACCACCTGCTGCTGGGACATCGTCAGGCCGTCAGGCTGGGAGAAGCTCGAAAGGAGGTTGGTTTGGCCAGAGTCTGTGCCGAACGCCAGTTCCGGTGACCCGGGGCTGTCCGAGGCTGAAAGAGAGGGGACGGCAGAAGGCAGGACGGGGCTGATCCCAGGGAGCAGCATGTTGCCGGCGTCGTGGTCTTCCAGAGCTGCCGGTGGTGTTGTGGCCACTTCCTGCTTGATAGGCAGGGCCAGGGCTGGGCCTGCTGGACCGGACAGGATGGGCGCCATCAACATGCTGGCGGGAAAGGTGGCGGTCAGGATGAGCTTGCCCTGCTGCAGAGCCATGCCCGTAACGATGGTGCCGCCGCCTGTAACTGGGTTTGTCAAGAGGATGTTCCCTAGGGTGGAGAGAACACAAGGGAAAAAACCCTCCTGTTATCTCGGACAAGATAAGAAACCCAGAAGCCCGGCTTTTGAAATCTCCCCACCCACCAAACATCCTTCTTTAGGCACTGCCTCTCCAACTTTTAAGCAATAAGGGCTGTGTCATCTGAAATTCTTTCAATTGGCAATGCCGGGGATCTGATCTAGGGAGCTGCGGTGGCTCAAGTGGTTAAGACGCTGAACTGCAGGCTGTGGAAGGTCAGTAGTTCAGCAGTTCGAGACCCGGGTGCCGCAAGACGGAGTGAGCTCCCGTCTCTAGTTCCAGCTCCTGCCAACCTTGCAAGTAGATAAATAGGTACCACTTCGGTGGGAAAGGAACAGCGTTCCATGCCCCTTGGTGTTTATTCATGCCGGCCACATGACCACGAAAACGTCTTCGGACAGCGCTGGCTCTTCGGCTTTGAAACGCAGATGAGCACCGCAACCCTAGAGTCGGATTCGACTGGCTTTCAAGCAAGGGAACCTTTACCTTTACAATAAGGGCTCAGTCATCTGAAATTCTTTCAATTGGCAATGCCGGGGATCTGATTTAGAACATTCTATATCCAAATTCGATTCCCATAGCACCTTCGAGACCAAGAAGATTTTAGGGACATGAGCTTTCAAACAGCTACATTTTCGGGATACGAGTTTTCGAATGGCTAGATTAGAGTCCGGTAGCCCCTTAGAGACCAACAAGATTTTTGGAGCACGGGTTTTCAGACAGCTAGATTAGAGTCTGGCAGCACCTTACAGACCAACAAGATTTCCAGCAGCAGGGAGGTTAGCAATGCTGCAGCAAGGAAATTAGAGAGAATACTGAATTGAAACTGATAATGAAGCTCAGACAATGCATCCTCCTGGACTGAATCGAGACCTAGGTTTCCTGTCCCCTTACCAAATACTGATTTCTCCATGTCTGCTACCCCTCTACACATCACACCTAATCCAATCATGCCTGCTGTTGTCATTCACTAGCTATTGTCACTCAGCATCTGAAATCACTCCACTGTCCAAGATATAAGGGCAGATGGACTCACATTCTAGCTGTATCTGAAGAAGTGAGCGGTGACTCCCGAAAGCTCCTACCCTGCCTCAAATTGTGTTAGTCTTTAAGGTGCTACTGGGCTCTTGCTCTTTTCTGCTGTAAAATTAGGATAGTGTACTTGGGCTCTTGGAGGACATTTTATACAGTTGCCGACTTTGACGACACTTAACGCACACCCATTTGGGTTCTGTAAAACCCCGATTCTTGTTGCAGTTTTGTGTTAGTTTTGGTTGGTCCTAATATGTAGCTTCTGCTTTGCTTTGGCTACCTGCAACTCAAACTAGTATCTGGGAACAATTTGTGATGGAAAAAATATCAGCTCAAATACAGCATTATGACCCACACTCTCCACACTTTAATTTCACTGAAAAATAGTATATTGCACTGGAATATTTGGCTGAACAAGGGGTTATTCCTAGTGAGCTAAAAGCTCTCAATTTACTGCACCTACAGACAAGTATAGGCACCGACAAAATGGCATTGCTGTCAATATTAGACTAATATCCTACTGTAAGGTAAAGGTTTCCCTTGCTCGAAAGCCAGTCGAATACGACTCTAGGGATGCGGTGCTCATCTCCGTTTCCAAGCTGAAGAGCCAGCGCTGTCTGAAGACGTTTCTGTGGTCACGTGGCCGGCATGACTAAACACCAAGGCGCACGGAACACTGTTACCTTCCCACCGAAGCGGCACCTATTTATCTACTTGCAGTTTCTTGCTTTCGAACTGCTAGGTTGGCAGGAACTGGGGCCAGAGACGGGAGCTCACTCCGTCACGCGGCACTCGGGTCCCGAACTGCTGAACTACCGACCTTCCACAGCCTGCAGTTCAGCATCTTAACCACTTGAGCCACCGCCGCCCCCATATCCTACTGTTCTTAACATCAATAGTATGATAAGTTATAATTTACCTTTTCCTTTGTAGATATTAAATATATGCCTAAATCAAAAGCACTGCACATGTATGTCGACAATTATGTTGTATTCTATTTTTACCTCTCTATCTTTGTTCAACTGAATGTTTTATGGATTGTTTGTGATTTGAAAATCTTCTTAAAATGTTTGAAAGGGGGGGGGGGAACAAACTAATATCTGAGGGGGTTTGTTGTTTATGAAGATTTGCTGTTTATGACTCCGGCTGCAAAAACAGTAAAGGCAATAAATAAATATCGGAGAAGGCGACTAGACCTCCTTTTGCTCCCAGCATTTTTAGAGTCCTCAGTTTAGCACTGCGATCCCAAGAAACCCCTTTCCTAAATCTCCCGCTCCCGTCAAACCTTCCCAATCCTGCTCCACCCACGGTGGTTACCTGGTGTCGTGCCTGGAAGCTGAAGGGCCGTCATGCTCACGTTGGTGTTGATGAGGTGCACATTGCTGTGGCTGAGGCTCCCACACGACGTCGGCGCCTGCGGCGTCCCTCCCACGGGCCCCACCTTGATGGGGGCGGCGCTGGTCAGGATCTGGATCGGGCTGCCCACGCCCTGCTGCAGTGTCACGACTTGGGAGGTGGGCACCACTTGGGGAAGAGAAATAATCTGGGACCCCTGGGCCACTTGGGGGAGGGAGACGAGCTGAGGGGCGGAGGCCCCCTGGGGCACCGTGTAAATCTGCGTGGGGGACATGGGCACCATCTGAGACGGGGAGAGCACTTGGGAGCCCGAAACGGGCTGGGACAAAGGCACGACCTGGGAGGGGGGCGAAACTTGGGCGAGGGGGAGCAGAGAAGGGGCGGGAACGTGGAGGACGGTAGCCTGGGCTGGGGAGGAGCCCGGAATGGAAAGGAGGGGCGTAGCTGCAGTCGCTGGAGGAGGCGGCGGCAAAGCGACCTGCCCACCGGCTGTTGCCACTGTCACCTGGGGGCTGGACAGGGCTTGAGTGCCAGAGATTAGTTTAGCAAGAGGAACGATCTGGGGGCTGGACGTGGAGGCCGGCTGAGCCACCGGGGGCAGCTGAGCGGCTGGGGGAGCATCTTCATCCGATGGGACGACTTGAGACATGGGAACGGCCGTCAACAAGGTGCCCTTGTGGTCAGAGAGGAGCGTGGAGGCGTCTGGGAGAGTCAGAAGGTGCGGGGCAGCCGCCGGCCCCTCCTCGGACTTCACTCCCACGCCATACACCAGCGCCTCGGCGGTTTCGGACTTCACCTCCCCAGGA